TGATGTGGTCTACCACAATTGCATAACTATATTCAGTCTTACAGGAAAAAAAAAAAGATAAAATAATTGCTTTTGTGCAATGTGTGTGTAAAGTGAAGGTTGTGAAAGTACAAAAAAAATAAATAAATAAGGGTTCACACGATGCTGAAGAAATTCAGACAACAGTGCTAATCGCATTAATGCTGCATTAATATAGCCATAGGTTTATGGAATAAGTGCATTTAGGCAATAACCAATTGGTAAAGTCATTGTGTTACTGCAGCTGCCACCTTCAGAAATAGTCAGTGAAGAAGAAAGGACAGCCTATTGAGTTCCATGGTTTTCTGTATCTGTTTTAAAAAATAATAATAATAATCTGCTCCTTGGCAGGTCTAAAATTTGGAAAATAAAACCTCAGATGAACAACTACACATTACATATCACACCATGTCATTATTAATTTAACAAAAACTAGGCAAAAAAGGAAAAGCCATAGGTGACAAACTAAGGACAGCCTATGATTTAGTTGCTTATAGATCCACTTATGGCGGCAAAAAGTTGAAGTAATAACATTCTGTATGAATTTATAAGTCCCTCACATCGTTCTGGAGGAATTTTGGCCCACTCTTCTTTACAGCGTTGCTCCAGTTTACTGAGGTTTGTGGGCATTGGTGATAAGGCTCATTTAGGCTGCTCATTTGGTTGAATCCAAACTGAAATCAAGATATGGCTTAACGCAATCATGAAATCATGACATGGCTTAATGCAACTATTAAAAAACAAAAACCCTGTGATCTATAATCTGAATTCATGAAGATAAGCAAGACTTACATCTTGTTCATCTTTTATTTGCTTTATGCAAATGGTTTACAAAATTTGCAAAGTTTGGCTCCATCCATGTTATGTGTAATATAGTTTTACACATAAAAGAACACTAAAAAAGTTTTCTAAACACTAAAAAACAGCAGGTACCCTTTCATGGGAACTTCAAAATGCGTCCTCTAGGGGTCGCCTCGTCGTGACCCGTGTCTGAAGCATACATTGAAAAAACACCAACAAGTTGGTCGGCGGCAGAACACATCATCCTCTTCTTTGTCTTCATTGACTGTTTTGTTTGAAGCGTGCATTTCTGTGGTAAGAGCGATCTATTCATATCATTATGGCGAGCACTAGCAAAGCATTTAAGAGGATGTGTGCATCCGTGTTGTCGTTGTTCAAACATCCGATGACACACATGATCTATGCGTTATTTGTACGGGCAAAGAGCACGCATGCGATGTCTCCGAGGGGGCAATCGGCGTGCACTGCGAGCGTTTTTCCAATGAAAAAGCTCCGCTCTCGTTTGTCTCTCTTTTCGAGGAAAGACAGGCAGCCATCTGCTTCCCGCGATTCAGGACCCACCGCTGCTGAGGCACGGAGGAGAATGAGCTCATTGGGATCGTAGGTGGATCTGGCCGATGAGTTTGAAGAGGGGTTTCCCTCT